GGTTATCCAGGAAAATATTTTTTGCTTTATGGCTTTCAGAAAAGAGAAAAACCAGGGAAGAGCACAGTCTATTGATAAAGATTTTTTTCCAAATTTCAGAATGGCAGCGGGGAAATGTTACTAAGTTGGGCATGTGAAAGGAAAATTGCTCTCAATCATACCCTTTCGTATTTGTTAGTGGAATGACAACATTGACATATATGCAATACATAAAAACATTTACGATTTTTATCTTCCCCAGCTTGAGTCAGAATTAAGAACTAAGGAGTCATTAGGATCATCCCACAAGAGCTTCAGTGCATTGTTCAGCTTTCAGAAAACTCAAGTAAGTTGCCAGCAGAGATTTCACACTGCCATTCTACAAAATCTCTTCGTGCATCCATATATGAGATCATTCAGGAAATAACTGTCCCAAGAATTGTGTTCATTCAAGGACACCAAGAAGTATATGAATATGAGTAAAAATATGCTAAATCGCAAGACAGAAACATCAGCCTCAGATGTGCTTGATTCTTTTCAAATATTTCCATGATGTAGAAAGCAGTGATATTTCAAGGTAATGCCCAAGAGAAACAAATCTGTCAGTGAGTTGGGGAACAAATGTTGATTGTAATGTCTCCCCTGAAATTAGATTCTGACTCATCAGGATTTATAGGCAGTATGTATCTTAAGATTATCCTACGATTAATATAACTCTTATCTACAAAACGAGTCATGTATTTTATTATGGTGCAACATTCCTAGATTTGCACACTGACCACTCATATATTAACAGAGATACACCCACATGTGCATCCTTGGTCTTCTTGCTGAGCCCCTGGGATGGTGAATGGGCTAAACAGATTAATGAAATCACATGTATAACATAGCTTTCATTTACTCATGTTTGTGTTGCAAAAAAGTATGCAATCTTGAAGAAGCATCACCTTTGAAATTATAATGCTGATTTTGTTGGATTTGCTAGATTTGAAGATTCATCATCTACTTTTACTTGCCTAGAACAGTCAAATTGATTTGGAAGAGTCTGACACCTTCGGGTGGACAAGATGGTGATGGCCTCATCAGCACAGTACAACTAACTCTGTGAAGGGTGATGCTTCATTATTCAGATCCAGCTCTTCCTATTTGATGTAGAAACAAGAGGTCTGCATCCCAGGGTTTCTCCAGGACTTGCTCCTAGACTGGCACTTTGTTCAGTCTATGATGCTGAGTGCTTCTACAGTCAGTTTTCTCTATCTCTTGTGTCATGTGAGGGTCATTTGGATTTTTACAGCCTAAATACAGTAACGGGGGTGGGATTCAAAAATCCCAGCAATTGGTTTGCTGCCCGGTTGCTGGGTAGGCATGGCCATGGTGGACGTGGTCTACCGGAACTTCTAGGAGGGTCATTTTTTGCCCTCCCGGAAGCCTCCGGAAGCCTCCCTCAGGCCTCTGGGAGGGCAAAAACGGCCCACCCCTCCCAGCCCTGCAGTAAGTGCAAAACATATTGTACCCTCACTGTTACCTTAACCCTAAAGGAGAATGAAATTTAATAGCATCTAAAGGTCATTAAATTTAGTTTTAGTCTACCCCTTCTCTTATCCTAGCCTCATTTGTAATTTGGAGTTTTCCTCTCAACACTTGATTCAAAACTCCCTTTGAAAAATAATGGCCTAAAAAAAAGGTTGTGAAAACTCTCAGTTATCCTTACTTACTGTGCTATCTAAAACAAGTTGCTTTAGCTTGATACTGGTTTGAGTTACTTAGGAGATGTTTAAACATTCCTCTTCTCAACTGTAAACCCTTCATTAAAACACACACACGCGCACACACACACACCTCTGCTTACTAAGAAAATGATGTAGTTCTTTGCACCAATGCGAGCCAATTGGACAATAAAAGTAACATTAATTTAGCTCTTACTGATCCTATTTCTTCTTTCAATTTGCACCCCATCTTTCTTCTAGAAGGCACTCAAGATAGCTAACAATAAAAAATGAAAACATAAACAATATGTGATATAAACAGTTAGCAATGCTATAATTAATTCTAACTAAAAAGACCTGGGGAACAGAATGGGGAAGCATCCTATTCCAATGGAATCGGGCACTGAATGGTTAAGGGAAAATGAGCTGATCTGATGTCAGCCCAATAAGGTAGACCAGACTAGAAACCAAAGCTGTATAGGCCAGGACTACTTATATTGTAACAGCTACAATAACAGAATCTTGCAAGTCTGAATGTGTCATCATTCCCCCCTCCACCCCACGCACCCATACACACTTTCTATGTCTGACTTCAGAAGGGATTTTCTGAGACACTTTTTCACATTATGTGCTTGGCCAAAGCTCAATCCTCCTTTATTCGTCCATAGTCATAGTAGTGGCTTTTTTTCTTCCTCCTCTTCCTTCAAGGCCATTCTCTGTGTCCTCTAAATGTGTCAACTGAGGTTGTGAGTGGAAACAATTAAAGTCAAGGAAAATGAAATGCTAAGTAACCAATCAGCAGCTTCTTTATATGTTCTAATAGAACACTATGACCATTAGTATTAAAAACACAGAATTCTTCATGTGTCAGTAGGGTCAAAGTTCCTTCTAGCTCATCCATCAGGCTCACAGTGGTCATTTTCATACCAAATTTGGATCTAAAGATCAGGGCCTCTGGCACTGTAGTACCATCAAATGCTAAATGTGGAATGTTGTATTTGGACCAATATTTATTACACTATTGCAGATTCAAATATGTTTTTTTTAGGCAAAGCTCTCACCATGATTCTTTTAGGAATTCAGAAAACTCTTCCTGACAAAAAAAAGTAAGTAATCTCAGAAATCACTAGAAGGATAAAATCTTTAGACCCCCTGATCTACAAGATGAAGATACCTTCTCATTCAGCAGAAAAACTAAATAGGAGAGATGGACATGAGGCCTATGTTAATTTCACATGATTTTTCATTTATGAAGAAGTATGCAAACTATATTAGTGGAACATCAGTTGAGGTGATTAAAGACCCAGTCATTTGTCCAATAGCTCTGAAAAACTCAATTCAATGAATTTCTGTGGCCACAAAGGAGAAAAACATAACTTGCTTTCTTCCCCAACTACCAGATGTGTAATATCTATCTGATTTTCTATAATGGCTCCAAAGGACGACAAATTCTCATGTATTTTTAGTTTTTGATCAGATTTCCTTTAGCACTTTTCACATGCCTCCTGGTACTGCCATCCAACTGCATGGTCTGATCCATTTCACGTGGGAAACTTCTTTTCTTCCAGGAACCATCTTTTATCATGAGAACAATCTTTCGTTGTATCTCTGAAATTGTCGTTCTTCACCTTGCTGCATGGAGCACCAGGATCAGGGCTGAGAAAGATTGCTGTCTCAGTCTCTGGGAGACTCTGCCAATTAAGGCAGAGCAGCTATTGCAAATACTGTTCCCACTTCATGTGCTGAACTACAATTCCCATTCTGCACATACCTGGAGGTGATGGGAATTGTAATCTAACAAAGCTGCAGTGAACCCACATTCAGAAGGCTGTAATAGTTGATAACAATTATTTATCCTCAGCCTAATTCAGTACTAAGGCAATTTCCTAAATTTCTGTGTCACCTTAAGGTAGAATTCATACCATCAGTTTTGCAGTTAGGAATCTTGTTTGGAGCCTGGATGTAATTTCACACATCTCAAAAGTAAACTAGTGTTGTTCTTTGTAACTGTGTTATCTCAAATGTTACGTTATTAACTCTGGATTTAAGAACATTCTTTGTGAGCATTACATTGTAAACCTGTTAAAAATTCAGTAGGAACTGTTGAAACGCTGTCAAAATGCCTTTCTTCTGAGGATTCGATTTTCCCGCTGGGAGAGCTCCGGTGCAAGGATACGGACAACTGCTTGAAAGCTGGATCTTTTTATTTTTCAAGAAGGCGAAAGATAGCAAGAAGTCTGCGTTCCTGGGCTAGCTAGCTTTGTATGGTAAGTCCATGATTTTTACACCTTTTTTTCTCCTTTTGTGTGTGAGTGCTTGTGTTTGTATTTCTTAATGTTTTAAATCCTGTCAGGGGTTGTCTTCATTTCTGCCGGAGGGTAAACTCTGTGGGGTACAGAAGGCAAACTTTGCGGGGTGGTTTGATTGAATTATCGGTTTCGTCCTAATCTTTTTTAGCTTAATGGTTTCTTATATTTGTTTTGTGGCAATCTCCTCTCTGTCTCCTTTGCAATGTATTTTGTGTCTTTTGTCTGTTTGTTTTGCTGATTTGGCATGTCTTGTGTTTGTAAGGGTTTTCTTTTCTTGTTTCCCTAGTTTTCTTAATTATTTGGGCTTTTGTCTAAGGGGCTTCTTTAATACCTTTTATTTGATTTCTTTTGCTATGCAAGTTTGTTTTATGGCTGGCTTGATGCTCCTTTTGGGCTTTTTCTGCTTGGGTGACACCACTGTCCTCGTGAAGTTCCCTTTCCACAGTTCTTTGTAACTGCATTATCTCAAATGTTACGTTAATAACTCTGGATTTAAGAACATTCTTTGTGAGCATTATATTGTAAACCTGTTAAAAATTAAATAGGAACAAAACAGGCCTGTCAGTTTTGGCTGAATGAGGATTTCACACTATTATAGGAATCAGTTCTGAACCCTTAAAAAGCATGGTTGCCTTTAAACTGAAGGCATTCCCATGACCCAATTTCTATTTCAGGGTTTCATGTCTATTTAAGGATCATAAATATGAGAGGTTAATATTATGAAAGATTGTACAATGTTTTTCCATCTAGATGTGGCATCTTATGTCCAAATCACAATTTAAAAAAAATACCACTGCAAAACTGGAAAGCCCTATTTGGTTTGTTTGAAAGTTTGGTGATATTTTATAAGGCCAGGCGGGGGGGTGGTGGGGGAGAGAGAGAAGCAGTGTACATTCCACCCAGATTCTCACATGAAGGAAAAGAGCTAGGTTAAAAATAAGAAAACAGAGAGAGGGTATAAAAGGGATGTTTCCTATCCCCATAGGTTAAAAACAAACCGAACAACAAGGGCTGCAGCTGACAATGAAACTCTCTCAGGAAACTTAAGTCTCCGGTGACAAATAAGACTCTCAACCAAGACAGGATGCATTATGACCCAGCCACTGAGCCAAAGGGATATGGGAGGCAAACAAGCTGTGCTCTATTGTCTTGGCATATGCTTTACAGACATTTATAGAATTTGAGCTCAGATTGAAATCACTCAGTTCGTTGTTCCTTCATTCAGCAAAGATGGGGATTCCTCAGCAAGTATTTTGGCAGCTGCTGATTTTGGGACTGACAGTTCAGCCCAGTGAAGAGGTGGAAGCTTTGTGTTCTGGGACCACGTGCTACACACTGAATTTTGGACGGTTTAGTTGGATGGATGCTCAGCAAAAGTGCAAGGACAATGGGGGTAACCTGATGACTCTGAAAAGCCAAGAGGAGGCTTTGCTTGTCCCACAGCTGCTCACCAAGATGCCCAAAGGGGAAGCCGGCACAGTTTCAGAGGTAAGATTGTGGATTGGGCTTCACCGAAAGAAAGGCAAATGCTACGATAAACATCGGCCATTGAGGGGCTTCCGCTGGGTGACAGGAGGTGAGGACACCCAGTACTCTAAATGGGGACAGGAACCCCGGGAAACCTGCTTGTTAAATATGTGTGTGGCCCTTCAGGGAGCTCCCTTCTCATCTCAGGAACTGCCCTGGGTAGACAGCCTCTGTGGTAATGCAGCTGCTGGGTTGTCAGGCTTCTTGTGCAAGTTCAGTTTCCAGGGAATGTGCCGTCCGCTCATACTGGCAGGGCCAGGCGTGGTCAGCTACAGCACCCCTTTTGGTGTAGCCACTGATTTCCTTGTAACTGTACCCTTTGGCTCCACGGCTGATGTAGCATGTGAGCCCCAAGGAGAGGAGATACCTAACATCTTCCTTGTGTGCAAGCCACAGCCAAACAGCAATGTCTCTGAATGGAGCAGCCCAGGTCCATTTTGTGCTTCACCCATTTACGGTTGCAGCTACAGCAATGGGGGTTGTGAACATGAGTGCTTGAATCAAGGCAAGGGTTTGTTTCGATGTGCATGCCACTCAGGATACCAACTTGGAGGGGATCATCTTTCCTGTGTCCCCGTGGACTACTGCAGCTCCAATCCATGTCAAGGACAGTGTAAACCATACCCTGGAGGCTTCCAATGCCTCTGTGCTTCTGGTTATATTCTGGCTGATGATGAGCGGAGCTGCATAGATGTGAATGAGTGTGGTGCGCTTCAAAGTCCTTGTGAACAAATATGTGTGAATACCAAGGGGTCCTTCACATGTCATTGCAACCTTGGCTACATGCCTGCTGAGTCTGACCACCAGGCATGCCAGGACATTGATGAGTGTGCAAGGAACACACCATGTGACCAGATTTGTGTAAATACTCATGGCTCCTTCCACTGCTCTTGCCAGCCAGGATACCAGCTGGAAGGTATTAATAGCTCTTCTTGTCTAGATATTGATGAGTGTCAGGAAGAACTTTGTGAACATATGTGCATCAATCAAGATGGCAGCTACCGGTGCTCTTGTAGGGATGGCTGGATTTTGGCACCCAATGGGATCTCTTGTCTCTTGGATCCCACAAGCAGCACCTCTTCAACATTCATTCAAGGAGGAGAATGGATTCCAACAGACATTCATCCTGCTTCAGAGTTACCAGCCCTCCTGACTGATCCTCCACTTCAAGCTGAGCTAGAAGGAGTCTTTGCATCCCAGGATTACACCCTTCAGCCAGCTGTGGTCAGCAATACACTGGAGGACAAACCCCATATCAGAGATGAGAGGATAGATAAGAACAGTCATGGCTCCAAGCAATTTTTATATCTTATCTTGGGCGGTGTGGGTGTTTTATTCCTGGTGTCTTTTGCCCTAGCTTGGGTCATCTACAGAAAAGTAAAAGCCAAGGAGGTCAAGAAAAATTCTAAGAATGTCACGGATAATTACTCTTGGGTAAAAGACCAAGGAGAGAGCAGGGCAGCAGGAAGCAAGGAGGGTTTGTAGTCAGTGGTGTGATTTTGGTGTGAGAAGGAAGGGAAGGGAAGGTATACATTGCAATTGAAATTTTTAAAAACTATACATTTTTCATGTAATATTTTGCAAGAGGACTGCTACAGTTGCATCATTAAAACCGCAAGGGTGAAAGTAGAAATAAAACCTTTAAGAGTAAATTTATCAAGATTTGCATCTCTGACAACAATGACAGATTTGACGTTGCAATCCACTTTATGTACATGCTGGTCAGTCAGTTGATTGTTAGATCAGCCTTCCCTTCTTGCCTAGGAAGCAAATGGTAAATTTTTCTAAGCAGCAATATTTATGCCCACCTAATTTTTATTTTACTACTGCAATGACAACTTCGTATCAATCCTTTCTTTTAAAAAAAAATGATCAGAAGGAAGGAAGCATATTTCTTAAACTAATTCCAATAGAACCACTGTGATAACAGTCCACTCGAATCATCTTTCAAATTATATTTGTTAGTTGTGAAGTCTTATATCCATTTTCTCCCTTGGGTTTAAACTAATTGTGGTCCATAGAAATTGATTTGAAGGGAATCAGAGGAATTGAATTCACAGAACTGAAATTTAACTTGTCTTGAATTGGCTGTACTTGGTTCAGTAAAAAGGTACTGCATGCCTGCTTAGACTTCAGATTCTGCTGTTTTGCTGCTCCCTCGAAGCTTTGCTAAATGTTATCACATTGTTTAGGGATGACTCAATCTCACTGAAACAGAAACAGCTGCAGTGACCAACTATGTTTCATCTATGCTTTCCCTATCAGCTCACGGGGAGAAGGAGAAAAATATAGATGCTATTTATGATCCAACATATTTCTCGACTGGGTGCTTGAGGATAACAATTACTGGGGAATATAGCAGAAATTTGAAACCATTTCGAAGTTAACTGTATTAAAGCTGAACATTGTTCAATAAAATGTGCTTTATACCTCATTCTGGCAACATTTTATAAAGATGGTAATAGCAAATGTTACCGACTGTCACATCTTGTACAGCTAGTTCTGAAATTTCTCTTTCAGGGTTAGTTCTTTAAAAAATAAGTTGGTTAGTCTATGTGACCAACCCTGGGGATACTGTAACTACTCCAAAATGTAAGCAGATTTCATTTTTTATATCCAGTTTCAATATGATTTCAATATGCAGAGTGTATAGACTGAAAATGCAGCGATAGGGTAGGGATAAAGGTTTGTTCCCTCCATTTAAAGAGGCTCCATTTTCAGCTTATGCTCCTTTTTTTCTTGGGACTTATGATCTCTAAAATAATAAAAGCAGGCTGGCTGATTTGAGGCCAGTCAGTCTCTCTCCGCCCACAGCCTCAGGCTCAGATAACAAGCTAGAAATGTGAAATATATATTCTTCCTGGCATTTTCCCATAAGTGCAGTGTCCATAGAAAGGTTGATTTAGTAGTTTATCTAAATCACATTTTCTGCAGGGTTTTAAAGGCTGTATTTAAGGTGTTAGTGATTTTGAATTCCATAAGTCAGCCTTAGAACATACATTCACAAATATTTGATGAGATGAGGAAAATAAATTGTGAATATCTCCATAATTCCCTCCCCCAGCAAAAAGTATTTACAGAAGCATTTGATATTAGAACAATTTTTAGGCATGGCAATTTTAATACCTGATTTGCAGCTACAGGCCCAGATTTCCCTCCGTTTCTTCTTTTGAAATATTTCTATAACTAATTGAATGTCTGGGATACACGTTAATTTAAGCAAACATTCTGTATTTTTTGCTATTAAATCTACATCACTGTCCACTTTGATAACATTATTCAAGAATGGGTTTGAAACAAAAGTAACTCTCTCTATTAGAAATCCCACTGGTTTCTATTAATAATTCCATTAGGACTAAATAAAATGGCTATAATAAAATACCACAAACTAACTTAACATAATGAGTTTGCCATAGCCTACCAGATACATCCTGTTCTTAGCATGCAGAGGAAAACTTTGTTCCTATTGTTATCATCTCTGCTGAATCTAGTGTTAATTCAAGAAAGCCATAGCAAAATTCAGAAGTCTGACTGCCTGGATATTTTAAATGGATTGTTTATCTTATCTTATTTTTGTACAGTTGCTGGAAAGAAAGGAAGATGAAAGAGTATTACTTTAAGTGCATGATACAACTAACAACAACTTAAATCCAGATGCCTCAATATATGCAATTATGATACAAATAAAGGATGCTCAGTTGGGAAGCAGGATAAGTAACCTATATTTTTTGGCACAAACTGGTTTATAATATTTTCATAATACAAGAATAAAATCCACCACTCATTGGCCAATGGTGAAATATTGTTTTTCCACTGTGGAAAAACTGAGTATATAGGTCTCCTCTAGATTGAACAAGATATAACACAAAATATTAATATCCTATGTAGAAATTTAGAGACACTGAGACCTGAGTCATGTAGTCATTTCCTTTTAAAAAGACTGATTATATGTATGCAGTCTTGGAAAGCATATAAACTTTAATACTGGAGTCAATATTCTATTATAAAACATGTAACGTAGATGTCCCTCCAGATTAATTTCCACTAAAAAAAGGTTAGCAAGCTGCACCTATTTAGATATTGCTGGACTTCAACTCCCGTAAGCCCCTAGCTATCATGGCTTCAATGGTCAGAGTTGGCATGATTTTGAGGCCAACAAAATGTGGAACACCACAAACTGTCCACCCTGCTATACACCTATAGGAAACAGGGGAACACCAGGAAAGGCTCGGCAGATAGCAGCAACTAGCCAACTTATGCTGACCTCATAACCTAAGCAAGGTCAACCCTGATAATGTCTTGGATGAATGGGAACTGGGTGTGAAGAGACTCATCACTGCAGTGGTAAAACAAATGTTGAAGAAAACAGCTGCATACCCAGCAGAAAGCAATGGCAACCCACTTAGGGCATGAATGCAGTCATCAGGACAAAAAAAAAAAGAGTGCTACATTTGCCATCCCTATCTTGCCTTATATATTGCTTGTGTCTATCAGTTTGTCTGTCTACCTGTCTGCTTAGTTTTATCTGGTGCGGGAAATTCCATAGAAAATGAAACCTCAAAATGGTATGATCAAATGTTTTTTTTTTCCTTTCTTTTCTTCTCCTTTTTATTTGTGGCTACTATAACAAGATTTCAGAATAAAAAACGATAAAATTTCCCTTGCTTTGAAGACTCTGTAACTCTTGTGCTTATTTTTCTTACCCACCCAGCTTTGAGCTAGAGCCAAAGATTCCTGGGAAGAGCTAAATTCAGAAGGGTCCACACCCTTCTCTTTAATAAATGGGCATATTCAGGTGCATGAAAACTAAGAGAGAAAACCTCAAAGGTTCTCTAATTGTTTGTTTGTTTGCTTGCTTTTTTTAAAAAAAAATCTCAGTTTTATTACTTCAGAAGCACAGGTAGTCCTCGACTTACACACCATTTGCTTAGCGACAGGGGTGGGATTCAACCGGTATTACTACCAGTTTGATGACTACAATTCACTTAACAGCCATGGCAAGAAACTTCATAAAACGGGGCAAAACTAACTTAACAACTGTCTCACTTAGTCTCAACAGAAATGTTGAGCTCAATTGTGGTCATAAGTCAAGGGCTACCTATAACTCAAAGTAAGAATATTACACTTCTTCCTCCTCCTATTCCCCCCCCCCCGCCACACACACATACAACAAATGGATAAAAACATAAATAAAATCATGGTTGAGCCCACAGTAATCCAGATTACTGGTCATTTCTTTCTTCCAATGAGACTGATATCTTATCTGCCAATATTAATTGATAAGAGTCTCCCCTCACCAACAATTTACTTACGTTAATACTTCAACCTGCAGTGTTATAAGTGGGCCCTCAGCAGAAATGCATCAGACTCCAGGTGGAGACATCCCTTGGCAACAGAAGAGATCTTATAAAGTTAAACTGCGCTGCTTCTAATGCATATCTATCTAGAAAGCCCAACACTAAACTTAGCACTTTAGGTTTTAAAAGTTTACCTGCTACGGGAAGACAGTTGTTGCCCCCACGGGCTATATATCTAATTATTGCATTCCAAGCAGGATGAGGCTTGAAGGAGTTTCTAGGAAAAGATTGTCAGTTTTCCATATGTGGGGGTTGGTTAGTGTGTCACCCTGGTTTTCATGTGGTTGATTTTCAGCATTTTGGATAGATAATGCAATGCAATTGTTGCAGAGCCACTTGAGATACAGACAGAATAGCAACAGAGCATATAGAAAAATGGAAATTGGTTTACTAAACAAAGAGGAGATGAAATTCAGTTCTAATAACAGCCTGAACAATATCATCCCCTGAAAAAAAACTTGTTTTTAAAGAAAAATATTCATATAAATCAGAGATATGAAGATTCAGAGTCTTAAGTCAACATTACTGGCTCTCTGTCAGCATAACTGGATTTCTTACTATGCTATCTTTGCCTCAAAGGCCCAAGAGATTTTCTGCAAGACCTCCCAAGGCCATACCAGCTTGCCTAAACTTAGAACAAGCCTTCCTAAAGTTTTTCGTTCCTAGCTAACCTATAGTAAACTCCTACCACAGTGCTATCACGTATTTTTTTTCACTCCTGTTAATCTTATCCAGATGCTTTCAACATACTTCAACATTCAGGGACATGAATTTCTCCACAGACATACAGCTTCTTTACTATTATAAAATGATTCTGCCTGTTTTTGCTAAGATTGTCTCTTTAAACCAAGTCATATCAGCACACTTGCATTGCTCCCTTTACCCCACTTTTATCTTCTTCAGTCTGTCACTGGCCAGATCAAGGTGAGCAGCCCTTTAGTGATGACAGACTACACTTAATATATTGTAGAACAGGGATGTCAAACTCAAGTCATCATGGCAGTGTCACGTGATGTATTGGAACTCTCCCCCCACTTCATTAAACTGGGCAGGACCATGGCCAGCATGTGATGGATCTGGCTCATGGGTCTCGACTTTGACAGCCCTGTTGTAGAAGGATGGGAGCAGGCCTATAAAAGAGGGTAAAGTCACATCACACATGAGTTCTGAGTGACGTTAGAAATATAACACAGCAACATCATGTTATCAAAGTCTAATCCAATTTCATATGATTTGCAAAGAAGCAGCTTCTGCTCAAACTATGAAATTTTGCCCTGCACATTCTTTACTCAACATTATCGAACCTTTCTGTATATTATCTTTTCCCATATATATCTACAATCCTTCGACTGATTGTTCCAAATTTCCCTGCCAAATGAAGTGACATAGCAAATGGTATATACTAGAACAAGTTTTTTTAATACAATTTTCTGAACTTTTAGCCTTTTAACACTTTTAATTAATTTTAATGGTTCATTTAAAAGTATCACATTATCAAAGGCTTCATATTTGTTACTGTCATATTGTATTCTTTTTGATTGTCACCCATACAACATTCAGTAAAATGTCTTTTGCACAGGTGAAGTCCTTCTCATTCTGAACTTTAACTAACCTTCAGCTGTGTGTACATTGCTCTTTACATTTTCTTTTCTTCATTTTATTTGTTGTTCTTTTGTTGTATTTGCAGCTGTTAGTCACCTTGAAGCTTCAGCAATAAAGATATACTTCCTAAAACCAATGGAACAGATAACATTATAAAACAATCCAATAGTAAAGTAGACATGCCTTGTCTACAACAAGTCCAGGGTTCAATTCCTAGGATCTTCAAATAAGTTTTCCAAGTATCAGGATTGATAAAAACATTCCTACTCAAAATCTTGATGAGTATTGATATAGTCGCAGACATTGTTGGGCAATCTTGATGAGTGGCGGTATAGCAGCAGACATTGTTAGGCAAGTCTAACCACCCCCATCCGATGTCCACCAGATGTGTTTAACTGCAATCTCATCACACTGAGCCAGTCAATATGCTAGCAGGCTGACAATAAAGGGTTTTAATCCATTACATCTGGAGCAAATGGGCTGGAAGATCAGGCCTGAAATATTGAAGCTGATTCAACCTAATCCAATTTCATATGATTTACAATTTCCTTCAACTGCACAGCTATGCATTGATTGCACATTGTGAAATAACAGAGCAGGAAATAAATACTAATCACTTCCAATCCAGGAATCAGAAATTTGGATTTGCCTCACAAAATTACAGTTCTTGAGGTGGCTTTTGCCAGCAATGTCATCCATATGATTAATAACCTAGAATTCACTTTTAATATTTTCAACACGGGGTTGAGATTTTGCTTTTAGAATGGCAAAAAAAAAAATACTTAAGAAATGTCTGATATATTCCAGTAAATCCTCTCTTCTGGTTTAGGTTTCTGTTCAAGGACCAGGAAATAAAGTATAACATCCCTACCTATGTATTGAATTATTGTTCTGGCAATTTATTATATATCTTTTTTAGCTGAATTAACTATGTGTATGTCTTACAGAAGGTTATAACAGAAACAGGGTACTGTAAAATTTGAAGGCTGGAGTCTGCAGCTGGCAATCAGCTGCTCACTGCTAATATCTGCTCTATGCAGTGACAGAACATGAATTTAGATGTGCTTAATTTCCATATTCCATAGTCGATGTGAACTTAGATGGACTCTGGGGGATGGTAGAGCACAGGAAAGCCTGGAGGAACGTTGTCCATGGGGTCGCGATGGGTGAGACACGACTTTGCGACTAACAACAAATTTCCATATAATGCCCTATGAAAAGATGAAAATTTAAAAGGTAGAATACTAATGAAAAGGTTTCCTGGAGATCCTATGTACTGACATGAAGGAACCATACATCTTGCAATCATCAGATCTATGATATTTCTCACTCAGTCTATGGATACAAATGTGCAAAATATTTCTAGATAAAATTCTGGTGAGTTTCATACAAAAAAATCTGCAAGATCAAGAACATCCATTTTTAAAAATTTAATGAGTGAAATGCCATACAAATCGCCCTCAACTTAGAACCATTCATTTAGTGACCATTTAAAGTTACAAGGGCATTGAGAACAGTGACTTATGACAGTTTTTCATACTTACGACCATTGTAGAACCCCATGGAAGATTGGGAAGTTGGAAAAGGAGGAGAAGGAAAGGGAAAATTACTTCTATATTTTGATCAAGGAAACTATTTGGTTGGCTTTGGGAGTTGAGTTTTTTATAAGATTGTTACCAGTACACTGTGTGCGCAATTATTAGGCAAGCTGTATTTTTGAGGATTAATTTTATTATTGAACAATTACAGTGCTCTTGGTCAATCCGAAATGTTAATAAATCTCAAATCTGAATATTTAATAAAGTAAAAGTGAGGTTATGGCTTTCTTGGGTGAATATGTGTGCACAATTATTATGCAACTAAATGAAAAATTTTCCCATCTTGCTCATTTTTTTTATCTGTCAAAGTGAGAATAATAAACAAACAACTCAAAATTTACAAATAAACATTTCTGACAGTTCAAAAAAAAATCAGTGACCCTTCTTTTCAATAATAGTCACAAGACTCTGTCAGTATCTTGATCTGTTGACCATCAACTTTTTGTGCAGCAGCAACCACAGCCTCGAAGACACTGTTCAGAGAGGTGTATTGTTTTGTTTCACCATAAATCTCCCATTTAAGAAGGGCCCACAAGTTCTCAATAGGGTTTAGATCAGGTGAGGAAGGGGGGCATGTCATTATTTCTTTCATCTTTAAAGACTTTACTGCTAGCCACACAGTGGAGTATTTTGATGCGTGCAATGGAGCATTGTCCTACATAAAAATCATGGTGGTCTTGAAGGATGCAGACTTTTTCCTGTACCACTACTTGAAGAAAGTGTATTCTAAAACCTGGCAGTAGGTTTTGGGAGTCCATCTTTAATAATACCAGCCCATACCAGTACCCCTCCTCCACCTTGCTGGCATCTGAGTCAAAGTGGAGCTCTGTGCCCCTGATCCAGCCAGGGGCCCATCCATCTGGTCCATCAAGAGTCACTCTCATCTTATCAGTCCATAAAACGTTTGAAAAATTTGCCTTCGGATATTTCTTGGCCCAGTCTTGCCGTTTTAATTCATGAGTCTTGTTTAGTGGTGGTTGGGTTTCAGCCTTTCTTTCTTTGGCCATGTTTCTGAGCATTGAATGCCTTATACTTCTGGGCACTCCAGGTAGGTTGCAATTCTGGAATATGACAGCACTGGAGGAAAATGGATTCCTGGTAGCTTCATGTTTGATTCTTCTCAAATCTTTGGCAGTTAACAAGCGTCTTTTTTTCTCAACATGTTTCTTGCAACTCTGTTGACTATTTGCAACAAAACCTTTGATGGGTTCTGTGATCACACTCCAATATCTTAGCAATTTCAAGAGTGCTGCATCCCTCTGAAAGACTTTTTACAATTATTGACTTTTCAGAGTCAGTTAAATCTCTTTTCTAGCCATTTTGCCGGAGGAAAAGAAGCTGCCTAATAATTATGCACACTTTGATATAGGGTGTTGATCTCCTTAGGCCACACCCTCCCTCATTACACAAATACACATCATCTGATATGCTTATGCAACTAAACATTCAAGTTTATACAGCTTGGCGGTGGAAAACCTCCAATTTTATGCATAAAAATGATCATATGGTCAAAATACTCACTTGTCTAATAATTGTGCATACGGTGTAGGTGCAGTTAAATATCATTTTCTTCAGCTTATTCAAAATTTAATGCATTCAATCATGCCCACTGCCTCTTCAGATAAATATAGGTAGCCAAATGTAATAAATGTAGCTTAATACAATACATATTATCACAAAAAGACATTGCACTGTATTCAACAGTTTGTTCTGAAGTTCCTCTATGAAGAGATACAGAAAGGAGAATATAGAAAGACAAAAGCAAGATAAGGAACCCAGTCCCCAATATTTTAAGTATTGTACAGTAGTCCAGAACAAGATGGGGAACCCTGTCCCCAATATTTTATGTGTTATCAGGAGTCCAAATAGATTTCTAGAGCAAGAACAAAACATATATATTTAAAACAAACTGTAATTTCATATTTTACATTTTAATCATCAAGGTATTTGCTCAGCTATCCTGATACTAAAGACTATAGTTGTATGGGGTGATGTCTGAGCCTAGGGCAATGGAGGCAGATTTTTACTTATCTGACACAGGACAAAAGCAAAGGTGAGATTCTACTGGTTTGGACTGGTTCGGCTGAACCCCTTGCTCCAAAAATCAGCTGGCAGCAAACGGTTTCACTGTGACTATCATGTGGGCCTGCCCGCCCTTGTGCTTTACCAACCTATATTGCCTCAGCTGATTAGCATGGCACAGTGGATTGCCGCTTCTCAGCTGGGATACTCAAGTGCTGCACATACACACATAGCGTGCATTAGGCGTGGGCGAGCTCGAAGCGCGCGTGCGCACGCAAATCACACAATCACCAAACCGGTTGTTAAACGTGGAGAATCCCATTGCTGGACAGAAGGCTTCAATCCACTTGTTCTTACCCTAGTTTCTGTATTCAAACAGTGTTATAATGTTTTGCATGTTTAAAAAAGAACTTTTGTATCTTGTTTACCTAAAAAAAACTCCAGCAGGGAGGACAGAAGAGGGATTGTTAGATTCAAAGTTTGACAGATTTATCCTCAGAATATTCATACTGTCAAATTCAATCAGAACTGAAAAAGCTTCTTGAAAGAGAAGTGAAATGTCTTCAAGGAAAAACAAAGGAAGTCCAGTTGCCTTTGAAAAAGCACCTTTGAGACAATCATGACCTGCATGAATGAGGATTCATACTGTTAGCATATAGTGGTCTGTGACTGTAATAAAGTCATAAATATTTGATTTGATATTGTCAGCAATATCAAACTGGGGACAGTTTGAAAATTTCAGGTAAAGCTTTTTGCAGGAGAATTCATGGGTTAATAGTGGTATTAATATTCTACATTGTACTCGCAATCAAACTTTTAACAAGTTGTTGAAAACTGCAGGCAATTAAAAACATCTTTCAATTACAAACTCCACGTGCATTAAAAAGATAAAGGTTTCACCTGCAGTTGTGTCCAGTTCTCGGGGGGCAGTGTTCATTTCCTATTCAACAGCTGAAGAGTTGTCCAAAGATGCTTTCATGGTCATGTGGCCAGCATGACCATACACCAAAGCACACAGAACACTATTACCTTCCCACAAAACTGGTACCTATTTATCTACTTGCATTTACATGTTTTCAAACTGCTAATTGGCAGGAACTGAGGAAATAATAGAAGCTCACTCCATCATGCAGTACTTGATCTTGAACTCACGACCTTCTGGTCAACAAGCCCAGCATCTTAACTGCTCAGCCATCATGCCATCACGCATTGATTGGCATCTAAAACTTCAGAATTACAATCAGCACTAAAATTGTTTGGGTGATTTCAAATATTTTTGTAAACAATTAAAGAGAATTACTAAGGTGAGTAATTGTTTAATTACTCTTTAATTGTTTATAAAAATATTTGGAATCGCCCAAAACTATTTTAGTGCTGATTGTAATTCAGAAGTTTTAGATGTGCCACTAATGTGACATCTAAACTTTGTAAATTTTATTTTATTTTGATAAAATAATGGTTAGCTTATTAATATATTATAAATATATTGTAATATATTGTAATAATATCATATAATAAATTATGTACCAAAATTTTGTAATTTATTAATGTGAAGAATAATATGTTTACTGAGTATGGGGCCAACCCATGCTTACAACTTAGAATTGACATCATTGGTTCTCTGCTCATACACGCTCACTCCATCAATGTAATTAAAAGACTGATTAATATCATTCCACTTATTCTAGATTTAATGTAGTATTTAAAAACTGTGTCATTTTCTATTGTATTTTTTTTTCTATTTTACATTCCCCACCTCTTTCTTCCTGTGTACTAAAAACTATTTTTAGAGAGAAAAAACAGTAAGAAGATCAAAGTGATCCTTGCACGTCAATCCCAACATTTTGGAAAGATGTGGAAATTCTGGGAGAAGATACTTGCTTTTACCATTTGGTTTTCCACATAATCTCTCAGTATCTCATTCTTAGCAGTTGAATTAAACTGTTTTGTGAGGTATTATAGCTAGTTGATTAACTTAAAAAGCCTGAGTTTTTTTAAAGGGAAGATAAGGAAGTTAACCTTTCCACCCTCGGCCTCTAACAGTTGGTTTCGTCACACTTGGGAAGGGTCATCGTGATCCTTTACTTACACTTCTGTTGGAGCAAACATTATTAACCTATGTAAATATTCCTCATGACAGGAATTCCTCCTCATTCTCACTGATAACTTCATCATGACCTGAGTGAAAACAATAAGGTTACATACTTAATAAAACTTTAAAAGAATGTGAAGCTCTGCCATCAATTTCTAACTTCCAAGGTTCCACTACATCATCTACATCTTATGTCATCACAGTGTATATCTTCTGCTATGCCAACAAGTACATGAATATTTGAGAATCTGGGGGAGCTTACTTTTAAGCCCGTTATCTCCACCCTTCTTCCAGGGGTGGGATCCTACGGACATAACAACCCGTTCGGTGAGCGCACGCTTTGCACACTATTTACAAATTACCAGCTCCGGCAAGCATTCACCTTCTCCTGCTGACGAGTGGCACTCAGCTGTACCGCACAAAGCAGCTGAGGAGGAAATAAAGCATAGCCTAGAGCCCGGGCAGATGGCTGGGCCAAACAGAAGACCAGAAAATTGTCACAGCATACTGGTTCAGTGTCAGCTGGTCTTCAGAGCTACCGGTTCTATAGGCCGGTAATGAAGGCAATGAATTTCAGAAGGATTCGGGTTATGGTTAGAAACTAGGACCAACCAATTCTCTCTGAGAGACTCCCAAGGATTGTTTAGTTCTTCTTTAAAGATGTCTCCCTTCTACTCAGCCTAGGGAAAACAAAAAACTGAAAAATACAGAACCTATCAAAACATTTGCCAACACTGAAACAAAAGGGGTAGCTGTATAGTTTTGCAAGTGGTTTTAATGGAGACATTCCTAATGAAAGAAGCCAAATCTCTTGCTACAAAACGTTCATTGAAGAAGGGATATGGGGGGGGGGGGGGGGGAATGGGCTGTCAACAATCATACAGAGACATAATTCCAAACAAAATCAATAAGCCCAGCTAAACTAGACATTTCTTATGAGCTTGAATAAGTAATTTCAAACTACGATGCTGGGTTTCGTGCAACACTATAAGGCTAAAAAGCCAGATAAATCATGAAACTTAGCAAAAGTGACTTGCAAAAGGATATTCAGTAGTTTATATTATCAAATTGGAATCTTTCCACTAGAAGCCTAACGCAGCATTATCTCTTGGAGCTTATCTTTTCCTTCTAAAAGTAGCTTCCTTACCAGCTTGAACTGGAAATACTGAAAGACATTGGAGGCATTGGATCCATTCCATTTTAGAGCAATGTCTCAAAACAGAAAGTTATTGTTCTGATAAGATGGCAGTTCTTTAGTTCGTTCTTGGCTGCTAATTATCTATTTTAGCAGAAGTATTAAACTTTTCTTGCAATGCTTGCAGCTGTTCTGTCACTCCAACTATCTCATCCTTGGAGGTGGGGGGTTTCCCAATCTTTGAAATTAATCTGTAACGTCACTCCCTTTCTTGCCAAACATATTTAAAGTGACGCAGGAATTCTCATCAGTAGCTATCGCTTCAGTCACGGGGAAAGCACTATTTAATCACTGGATAAATCATGTCTTGAAAAATAAGAGCACACTCCCCTGCTATTGCATAAAAGGGGACAGAGGGCAAATATGATCAATTTTGAATTTTTTCTGCTGCTGCTAATGCTGCAAAAGGCCGAACAATCCAAGGCATGTTTCTACTTCAGAAGAGCTTGCAAATGCATGCAGTCTAATTCTACAGTCAACAGTTGCTGTATCATGTCTGCCAAAGCCACCCATGAATTCAACTGGATTCCCCTAAATGCAATTTCATCATCATACCATCTCCTAACATGTATCCACTCTTATGTTCAGAAATGAAATGTATTTTTCTACCTTTTTATGTACTTATACAGAACACTAATAAGTATTGTAGAAGGTTAGCACCCACCCCTCTCCTAGAAGAATGAAATATTGTAGGAAATATTTTTAAAAAGGCAAAATATTATACCTCCCTGGATGAGAAAAGGAGATTCATGCTCTTGGAAAGCAGCCCCCACCTTTGTTAATAGCCCCAGAAAGACTGAGCCATTTAATCTACAAGACTCCACTCCAGAATGATGGGATTATCCTTCAAGGCAAAGCCATTCAGCCACAATTGCCCTTCATTGCATCACCCAGCAAGATTCAACCAAGCCTGGGACACAAACAGCCTGCCCTACAAGGTTAGTGGACAAGCAATAGGATATAATATGATGTAAAGCTGTTCAATACCATAGACAATACTGCTACCCTTCAAAAAGATCTTGACTATGTATCAGAACGGTCAAACAAATGGCAACTTCAAATCTCAACAAATAAATGCTCTGTCCTACATATTGGCAAAAAAAATCAGAAAATAAAATACAGGCTGAATAGTCAAGACCTTATTGATGATCCAAGCTCTGTAAAGGATCTTGGAGTACTCATCTCTAATGATCTAAGTGCTAGAGCCCGCTGTAACTACATAGCCAAAAAGGCATTAAAAGTTGTTAACCTAATCCTACGTAGCTTTTTCTCTGGTAATATCACACTACTAACTAGAGCATACAAAACATTTGCTAGAATGTTTTGAACATTCTGTACTCAAATACTCGAACACAGCTCATCAGTCTGGAACCCACATTATGTATCTGATATTAGCACAGTTGAGAGAGTCCAGAAATATTTTACAAGAAGAGTTCTCCATTTCTCTACTCCTTGTAGAATACCTTATGCCACCAGACTTGAAATTCTAGAACTAGAAAACCTTGAATTACGCCGTCTTCGGTCTGATTTAAGTATGGTATATAAAATCATACATTGCAATGTCCTACCTGTCAATGAATACTTCAGCTTCAACCATAACAACACAAGAGCACACAATAGATACAAACTCAAGGTTAACCGCATCAAACTTGATTGCAGGAAATATGACTTCAGCAACAGAGTGGTCAATGTTTGGAATACTCTACCTGACTCTGTGATTTTTCCCCAAACCCCCAAAACTTTAACCTTAGACTGTCTCCTATTGACCTCACCCCTTTCCTAAGAGGTCTTTAAGGGGCGTGCATAAGTGCACCAACGTGCCTACTGTCCCTGTCCTATTGTTTCTTTTATTTTTCGTATATGTACCCATTTCATGTATTCATAACTATGATTTTACTTATACCAATTATCTTGTAAGCAATTGACAAATCAAAATAAATAAAAATAAAATAAACATTTCTTGCAAGGCCCAAGAGAGGGTATAAATATATCTCACTCTCTACTCCAGAGGTGGTATTCAGCAGGTTCTGACCAGTTCTGGAGAACCAGTAGCAGAATTTTTGAGTAGTTTGGAGAACTGGCAAATACCACCTCTGACTGGCCCCGCCCCCATCTATTCTCTGCCTCCCGAGTCCCAGCTGATCGGCTGGATCTTCTTTTGTTGCCCTGCACAGAAGAACGGAGCTGGAAAGCAGGTTAGTGGGGTGGGGAGGGAATGGGGATTTTGCAGTAACCTTCTCCCAGGAGTGGGGAGGGAATGGAGATTTTACAATATCCTTCCCCTGCCACGCCCACCAAGCCACATCTACAGAAGCGGTAATAAAAAAATTTGAATCCCACCACTGCTCCACTCCATATGTTCAGTTGCACCAGGACCATGTGCTTAATGGTTCTGCTCCATTAAACCATCCTTCTAAGCAGCCTCCATGTTTCCAGTGTCTTTCTCCCCACTTGGAATTGAACCCAGATGGACATTTCTTCCAACAGTATTGCACCAGTACGACCACAGAAAATACATATTCCGCTGAAAAACATAACTTGCTTCTAAGAATCTTACTACATGCAATGCTAATTGCATTCTTTGAAGTCATGTTCTTTTCTACCAAGAAGGGTGGGAGGAGACATATTAATAGAGGAATTTCTATTACTGGCAGTCCTCAATTAGGGACCACACAATTTGGGACTGCCAATTCAGTCACTAAGGTAAGCGGTCGCTATGTGAAACTGTTGACTGTGCTTATGACCTTACTTCACTTTGCTTGGCAGACATATGAAGGTTGTAAATGTTGGCATTAGTCACATTGCATCACATTTGTATCACTGCTGTAACTGTGAACCGACATTGTATGACAGGGGTGGGGAACGGTGGCCCTTAAATGACATGGGTTTCTGGCTCAGGAATTCTGGGAGTTGAAGTCTGCAAGTCATAAAGGGGCCATAGTTCCCCACTTCTGCTATATGAGGTAGTCACTAAATAAAGACTACCTTTAATGCTATGTTTCTTAATATTCCAGAAAAAAATGTGAAGGATGAAAATGATTTCACCCTCTCTCCCAACATCCCTGTTCACTTCATCTGTGGAGGCATCACAGATAGTCCTTCCTGTCACCGAGGTCCATCTCTGCCTGCAGCACTAGGTAGAATGTAGAAAACCATTCAGACCAGTGGAAGCATCCTTTTCAAAAGAAGCTGTGGCTGGGCTGTTTCAAGGACGGATCTCTTCCGCCTATCTGCAGGACCATTTGTTTCTATAGGACCATTACCACCAAAAGGCATTTTATTTATCATCCCATTTTTATCCGGATAGATGCAGGCAGTCCTCAATGTATGACCCAACTGGGGCCAGAACTTCCATCACTAAGTGATGTGGTTGTTTAAATGAGCTGTGTGCAGTTTTGTAATATTTTTTTTTGTTACAATCACTAAATCACCACAGTTGTTTATTGAATCACACAGTTGTTAAGGACATTCAGTCATAAATACCAGTTGCCAAGGGTCCCTATTTTGCTCATGGGGATGCTGTGACACTCATAGTGTAAGAACCAGTCACTTTTTTCCAGTGGCCTCACAATTTCAAATAGTTATTAAATGAATGATTGTAAGTCATAAGCTACCTGTAGACAGATAATAGACATTGTTCCTTCAAGTCAGCACTGATTTCTGGAAACTATCCTGGACATATACATGCAGGGAGTTTTTTTGGCAAGATTTTTGTAGTCCTTGACTTATAACCATTCATTTAAGACCAGTTAAAATGGCATTGAAAAAAAGTGACTTATGATTGAGCCTCATAGTTACAACTGTTGCAGCATCCTCACAGTCACGCAATCAAAATTCCAGGGCTTTGAACCAGCATGTATTTACAATAGTTGCTGAGTTCTGGGATCAAGTGATCATTATTTGTGTTCTTCCCAGCCAGCTTTTGACAGCAAAGTCAATGGGGAGGGAGGTGGATTGACTTCATGTCCATGTGATTCACTTAACAACTGCAGTGGTTTGCTTAACATGGCAAAAAAGGTCACAAAATTGGTCACCACTCACTTAACAACTGCCTTGCTTAGCAATGGAAATTCTAGTCGCCAACCTTTTGGACCTCAGGGACCACCAAACTCATAATTTTAAATTCCAGGTGTGGCCTAATTCGTGGGTGTTGCTTGGTGGCCATGTGACTGGCTGGGCATGGCTTGTATGTAAATATTATAAATATTTATATAAATATTGAATTTTTTATAAAAAGAGAAACTTTTACCCAAAAGCAGGCAAAGCAGGCAGGCAGATTGAGTTGCTCACAGAATCATTCAGTGACCTATCTATCTGCCATCGGCTAGCTCAATCTCTCAAATTTGCTTGCCGTGCGTCTGCACTGAATAATAGGACCTTCAGTCCTAAGGGAGGTTCGGCTGTGCTTAAAAGCAGAGCCGAAAATCTAAAGACTAGCTAGAAAGCAAGAAATGCAACGATTTCCTGCTTTATAGATAATCTAAATCTCCTGGCACAGCAGAACAGATGATGGTCAGAAAAAGGAAAAATAGCAATTTAGCAGGTAAGTTTGCCAGGTAAGGAGTGAGTGGGTGGGGAGGGTTCCCGCAGGCCATGTGGGCGGCGCAGCTGTGTGTTTCTGCGCAGCCTGGATTAATTGCTTTGGGTGGGTGCTCTGGGGGTGAGATTTCTCTGCGGCCCACCAAAATTTTCTCCCAGCCCACCAGTGGGCCGTGGCCCACCAGTTGGCGACCGCTGTTCTAGTCTCAATTGTGGTGGTAAGTTGAGGAGTAGCTTGTGCTTCCTCTGGCTTCTTCCTAAGGCAGAGCAACAGGTCCAAGATCAGCCATATCTGGCTCGGTGCCTAAGACAGAAATACAACTCATGGTCTCCCGGTTTCTAGCTTGTCACTACATCAAACTGATTCTACTTCATTAACAGTAATAATTTTGGATAAAAGTTCCATTTCAATTATATGCAAACTACTAGTACAATATAGCAAAAAAAAAAAAAGAAAGAAAGCTATTTTTTGATTAATCAGGAAGGGCTGTTGAAAGGTTGGGGTGTTTTGTTTTGTTTTTGCATAGGGTCATCCTGTTTATCGACATGCTCATGAAAGCACAGTCTCTCCAGTAAGTCCCTTTCAGATAACACTGGAAATGGCCAAGACCAGAGAGCTAATCTAGAGGACTCCAAAATATTTTGATAAATTTTCCACAATGTAATTGCCAATTCATGCAAAAGGAAAAAAGCGCTGGAAATTTATACTTACGAGTTTCTGTTACTATGACCAATCTTTATAAAAATAATTTTCGGCCTAGTTGAACTCTTTGTGGTCTGGTCTTCCTCCTAGGGTTGACAACAATCTTGCAAGTCTGAATGTGCTTCCCCTTCTCTTTCTTTTAGATTCAAGTGAACAGAATAACAGAGTTGGAAGAGACCCTGGAGGTCTTCTAGTCTAACCCTCTGCTTAGGCAGGAAACCCTATGTACCATTTCAGATAAATGGTTGTCCAGTCTCGTCTTAAAAATGTCATTCCACGTATTAATTGTTTGAACTATCCAAAAATTTCTCTTTAGTTCTAGGTTGCTTCTCTCTTTGATCAGTATCCATCGATCACTTTCTGTCCTACCTTCAAGTGCTTTGTGGGATAGGTTGATCCCTTCCTTTTTCTCACAGCCCCTGAGATATTGGAACAAAGCTATCATGTCGCCCCTAGTCAGTGGCAGGATTCAAAAACTTTTATTACTGGTTCTGTGGGTGTGGCTTGGTGGGTGTGGCCATGTGACTGGGTGGGTGTGGCTTTTTTTGCAGCCCCCACCCATTTTGGGGAGCTTCCTAGCCACAGAGGAGCCTCGGGGGGGGGGGAGGGGCGTTTTTGGTCCCCTAAGGCTCCTCTGGGGCTCTGGAAGAAAAGGAACAGAGCAAGGGTGGGCACACAGCACCCCTCCAACCTCCGTTCTGGGAGCTTCCTAGCCTCAGAGAAGCCTCGGGAGGTGCGTTTTTGCTCCCCTAAGGCTCCTCTGGGGCTCTGGAAGGCAAAAAATGGAGAGGAGGGGGCTGAGCTCCTCCCTCCACTTTTTGCCTTCCTGGGCCTCAGCAAGGGGAATCTTGGAACAGCTGATCTTATCTACAGCTGATTATTGGGAGGGAAAAAAAAGAAATACCTCAGGCGAATGTAGGCAGGCGGGCGGGGAGGGCGACCGGGTGGGAGGCGTGGCCAGCCAGAACTTACTTCCGGTTCAGTGACCCATGCCAAATTCTTGCTACCGGCTGGCCCAATCCGGTGCGAACCGGCTGAATACCACCACTGCCCCTAGTCCTTCTTCTCATTAAACTAGGCATATCCAATTCCTGCAACTGTTTTTCAATTTTAGCTTCCAGTCCCCTAGTCATCTTAGTTGCGCTTCTCTGTACTTTTTCTAGAGTCTCAACATCTTTTTTTACATTGTGGTGACCAAAACTGTATGCAGTAGTGGGGTGTCAAATTCACGGAGTCGTGGTGGCGTCATGTGACGTATCGTGACTTTTTTCCTCTTTGCTAAACCAGGTGTGGGCGTGGCCAGCCCGTGACGCATCCGGCCCATGGGCCGTGAGTTTGACAGCCCTGCGAGGGTGCTTATCTGAAAGCTGTGTATTTCAGATGGGGCCTAAGCAGTGTTTACCTATTTGTTGCCTTGGGAACAGATCTTCCCTCTCTCCACCAAAGTCAATCTCTTTACTCTCTACAGGTGACATGATCACTGAATAAATATACAGTATCAAATACATAAGCATAATCTATTTAATTTCTGCCATAACATTTTGGGAGATATTTGAGCGAACTGGTGTGTTCAAGCAGCAGTTTGGTGAGTTTGAATGCAGAATAAACAGAGTTCCTTTGTTGTCACAAGAAGATTTTCTAGGATTTTATAATACTGTTAAGACTAAGGCACCTACAGTGCTCTATAGGCACATTATCTTTCAATTATTGGCTTTTCCATTTTGAGCACTCAAGTTTATTGGACATCTTCTGCTCTCCACATCTAAAACCCTCAGAAAACTTTCTTTTGGAAGCAGCTGCAGCAGCAACCACAGAGAACATGCCAGAACCGAGCAAATGCCTCAGCCAGGAAAGGACTTCCACACCCCCAGGACATTTAAAGGACAGGGGTTGCAACTTGGTGCCAGGCTTGGACAAAGATTGCCTTTGGTTCCATGCAGTTGCTGGCAGTGAGTGGTCAGATGCTACTTTAAGAAGTGGGGAGCCCAACTAAAGATCCAAAAGAAAGCTAGCTAACTTCGTGGCTGCAATCTAGCATTCGGCTGCTGACAGCAGCCACTTCTTCGGACCGAGAAGGATCGGGTGGAAGCCTCAATTTCCTGCGCCGATAGTCGAGGAAATGGAGGCGGGGCTGGCTGGCTTCCCTTCTCAGCGCTGCATCCAGCTGGGTGTGAGCGTGTGAGACTCTGACTCTGCTCCAGTGGGAGATCTCCTCCTGGGCGGGCGGTGCTTCCCTTATTTCTCCCGCTTTTCTCCCCTCCTCCTCTCGCTTCCCCTCGCGTGGAAGGCGCTATAAATGCTGGGGCCGCCTGAACGGGAAGCGACGACGGGGCACCCCGGTTTCACTCGAAGAGCGCTCGCCGTCATCGCCTGCTAACATGTGGTTCCTCCTAGTGGCGATGGGCAGCCTGAGAGCGGGGCTGGCGTCGCCCGTACCGTCTCCGGCGCCGATCCCTTTAGGCGCGCAGTGCCTGGGCTCCGCCTGCTTCGGTTTATTCGGCACTTCCCTGAGTTTCGGCGAGGCGGGCGGCGTGTGCGAGGAAGGCGGCGGACACCTCATGACGGTCCGCTCCACGGTGGCGGCCGAGGCCATAGCGCTGCTATTGCTGCGCGACCTCCGTGGCAGCGCCTGGCTAGGTTTGCGCCTGCCCGAGAACCGCTGCGTCGAGCCGGCGAAACGCCTGCGGGGATTTCAGTGGGTCACCGGCGACGAGTGGACGGACTTCGACGCTTGGGAGAGCAACGGGTCCGACCCAAAAGTGCCCACCTGCGGCCCCACGTGCGTGGCGGTGACTCGCCAACTGAAGTGGCAGGAGCGCGCCTGCAACGCCTCCGCCGAAGCCGTCCTCTGCGAGTACAGCTATCCGAACGGGACCTGCGGGCCCCTGACGGACGCCTTCGCGGTCACTTACCTCACGCCCTTCGGCGCCCAGGAGAGCGATCTGGTGGCCTCTCCGCCGGGCACTACGGCGGAGTTGCCGAGCTTGGGCGCCCTCCTGGAGTGTCGCGCGCAGGGCAGCAACGGGACTTTCCAGTGGGGTTCAGCCACGCCTGGCGCCTGGGATTGCCAGTTGCAAAATGGGGGCTGTGCCGACCAGTGTCGTTTGGACGAGCAAGGGAGACCCTACTGCGCTTGCCCGGAAGACAAGAGGTTGTCGGAGGACCAACGGAGCTGTTGGTACCCCTGTGCCAGTTTAGGATGCCAGCAGCATTGTGAGCCTCAGGGTGACTCTGGAGTCTGCATGTGCTTTGAGGGTTATAAGCTGGATTCCGATGGTAAGAGCTGCTTGGACATCGATGACTGTCAGGCCACACCAGGGCTTTGTGAACAGGTGTGCATTAACACCCAGGGCGGATTTGAGTGCCGCTGCTGGCAAGGCTACAGTCTGATAAAGGACAAATGCCTTCCAGACAAATGGGGGTGCTTTGATTTAACGTGTGAACATGAGTGCAACCTTGTTAATGGAGAGTATAAATGCACATGTTTTGAGGGATATACTCCAGACCCCAAAAGTCCTAATAAGTGTCTCCTAGTCTGTGACCAGGCTGAATGCCCTGCACAATGTGACCCACACACTCTAGATATATGCTATTGTCCGGAAAACTTTATCTTGGATGGGAAAACAGATGGTATGAAAGTATGCATAGACATCAATGAGTGTGAGTCTGAATTCTGTGGTCCCCTGGAGTGCATAAATACACCTGGCAGTTACAGCTGCATCTGTCCTGATGGACGTATTCAAGAAGCCAACAGCTTCTGTGAGCAGCCATCAGAAGAACCAGAGGAGTTTTCAGGTCAAACTGAAATTTATCCCAAATCAACTGTTCCTCCTTCCTTTGCCCCACCAAAGGATGGCAGGAGTCAAGGGACATTGGCTGCAATCATTGTTAGCGTCACCCTTACGGTTGTGATGTTGGTAGTTATTATCTGCTACCTGGTGAAGAAACGCTATGCTGCACAAAGCATATCGGACTACAAATCTCAGCAGTCTCAAAGTGGTGTGGCACTTCAGCATGTTAGTCCAACGTGTGACTCTTCCAGACAGAAAATATAGGAAACATTCATTTTGGAAGGAGAAAAGAGACAGTAATTTTAAAAACTGCAAAGAATTGTTTGTGAATTTGGGGGTAGGGGGGAGTCCTATGCAGATGCTGTTTAATTCATAACTGCCTGCATGAACTCTGAAGTAACATTTTTCTTTCATTTCCTGAGAGTTCATTGTCATGCCATGAGAGCATTGTTAGTATTTGACACTGACTTATAATGTGAATCCCATGTGTGCACAGAAATGAAGTTTGGGATGCATTTATGTAGGACTTCAGTTCTACTACTACTTTTTTCCAAATGCAACTTGATTGGTCTGTTCTTTGTTGTATAGACGTAACGCTGCCTGTGTTGAAGATCAAGATCAAATGAACTGGGAGGGATATTAAACTTCTACAAGTATTTTTTCTGGGAGCTTCCACTGTTATATATATATATTTCTAATTCACAGCTTTCACCTTGTTACTGGACAACAATTCTATGTAACAGTCTTGACATAGTCTCTGTGAACATTGAAGGAGTTAGCTATCCGCCCGTGCTAAATTATCCATTTAAGTTTAACTATTATGCAGCCCCATTCTCCTCCTGGTTCCCCCCCCCTTTTTTTTTAAATTTTTGGTTACAGATTTTGGCTTGGGAGAATTTAGCTTTTCATTAGGCATTCAGTTCGTAATACAAACTTTCTGTGTTCTCAAAGTAGTTTTGAGTACTTGCTGCTATAAGCTACAACTACTTTATTGCGATGTTGTTCCTTTTTTCCATGTGTGACTTTCCTTTGTCTTCATCTCATTTTCATCTTATTCTATTTGTTTCACAGAGGATTTCTCGTAATTGAAAAATATGTGACATACCAGTTTGCACTTTGGACACTTTTATTTAACTGGATTAAATTCCTTTCTTTCATGTTTTGTTTTAATATAAAATGTTCACCAGTTTTAAAGGAAGCCTTTCAGATTTTCAGTACTGTATTGGAAAGAGTTGGAGAATGACATTTTAATGCCTTCATTTGAGAGACTTTCATTTTTATTTAAGACAATAAGCATGATAAAAAAGGACTTTAAACATTGTCAAGCAAATTTTATCTAATCAGCCCAGAAACAAAATCCAGCTAAATCCAGCCCTTTGCATTGATTTCAGGTGCAAAGTGTAACCAGAGGCTAAAAGTTAAAAGTAATATCTGATGAGTTTTATCATAATTGATAATAATTATGAAATAATTCTTTCAGAGATGCGATTTCACCACTGAAGTATCTTATTGAGAGTTTGCAAAAAATGTTACAGGCATTTGTTGAATACTATAGCCATGTCTTCCTGAAGGAATTTTATTACTTCTAGCATCACCCAACTTTTAGTGAAGCAATATAAAGTTTATTCTTATTACGGTGTTACCAGCAGAGAAACAACTGGATAAAAATGTAAGGGGCTATGAATCATTAGTAAGGAAATATCATTGTGGCTATTAATTGGTTAATACAGTTCCAATGTGGTATTTTTAACACTTTAAAATGTGGCTCTTTTAATAAATGGAAGCGAATGATATAGTTTATAAGTAAATGTTTTATGTATGTATATATTTATAGAAAATATGCTGTAAAGTTATTTTTCCATCTTAGGTAAATTAAAATGTCCATCCTATAAAATTTGCAGCATGATCTCTTTGATGTACTAAATATATGTTGTGCTTCAAGCATCTCCTTATTTTGTCTGGATTTCCAGATTTTTATGGTAGGTTTATTGAACCTCAAGGATAACGTTGCAAGTATGAAATAAAGCTATATTAGCTTCATGCCTATCCTTCATTCAAGTTATATTAAACTTATTTGAAAAAAACACAATTTACACATGTACTATGTACTGTGCTCCTGTTTCTGTTAAAATTAAATAAACATTTACAAGGTTGCACAAGAGAACAGAATGATCAACAAAGATAACTTAGAATTAAAATTAACTACTGGATTAATTTTAATCAGTTCAGTAATGAAGATCATTTTTGGCTAGATATTTGTGAAGTGAGCATACTTACTAAGTGTTTTGTTATTTCAGGAAATGCATGTATATTATCAGGAAATTACATATTACAGTGACATTCTGACCATAAATAAAGTGTGATTTTTTTTATATAAATAATGCGTAATATCAGTGTAACAGCTGATGTAATATAACAGGTATGGATTTAAAAAAAAATTAAAAATTAAAACAATGAAGAAACTATTAACATTAGCATTTAAATGACTATAGGTAGTATATAGCAAAGTCATAGCTATAAAGAAATATACATTTAGAACTTAGGTACAGTAATCCTAAACTAATTTAAGAATGGGCAAGATATTTATAGAATTAATAATAGATTGGTAAACATAAAATGTTGATTGTTACCTTATAATAGAATTTTGAATAGTCTCTAGTTTAACTAAGTTGCGTAACTACTTAACTAACATTCAAAACCTTTGCATGTTCCTTGGTTTAAATGCCACCTTGCACATCTCCTTCAGCTAGTTTATACTGTATGTAGCTGATGATCCTAAAAGGTCAATATAATTATGAGAGTGTATTTATAGTATTATGCTTATGGAATTCTATTTAATCTACTTTTGTTTTTCAAACTTTTCTAAGTGAATATGTGAGCCTTGGTTTCTCAAACTATAAATCTATCTAATTAAAATGGTACATGTCTTAGAAATTGATAGTAATAAATATTAAATTGATCTCTTAATAGAGGCCACCCACTAATGAATTATAAACTGGACATTAACCTGTTTCATTATGTACAGATTATTCTCAAATCATTTGAATTTACTGTTATGTAAGCTTTCTGTGTTCCAATAACTCTGAGTGAGATGGATTAGAGAGAATTAATGATTACATTCATTTTTTGGTCCTTTCCCCTTCTAGGGGGAAAAGCAGAAAAAGACAAGATTCATATTAAGGCTTGCAAATCTGCTGCTGATTTCAGAACATGCTGGGAAAGAGGGACTCGTTTCTAGTTGGCCCTGAAATGAATACAAATCTGAAATAAAAATGAAGACAACACAGAAAATTACAATGTGTTGTAAAGGTGAAGAATATACAGGGAACAAGCATACAGAGTCTATTTAAAAAAAAACATACTAATGACCCATTTCAATATTCTGAATTCATTATATCAAATTCAGTAAGTCTTACTCGCAAGAAAATAAGCCAACACTGCAGCATTGGCTTGCTTCACATAATAAAACACAGATAATGGTGAAGGACCCAACATAGTATGCCTTGCATACAAATAATGCTGAACTTACAACTGTAATGGAGCTTGCCCATTCTCCATAGAGCTGCTGCGAGCATCCAGAGTGGCAGGTGCTCCAGTCTCGGCTCTCACAGGCTGAGCTTGAATTGAGGAACGCTCCTCCCCATCACGTGGTCCCTCGTAGCGTTCCCCAGTTTTAGCTCAGCCTCGTGACAGTCAGGCTGTGTTTCTCAGAGCTCTTGGCCGACTCAAGATTTCTCTTAGGATTTCTTCTCCAGGTTGGACCTTTTAATTTGAGTTATTCCTGTGCAGTTACCTTGGGGTCTATAGCTCCCTAGGGGAGTTCCCCCTCCTGGGGGGGGTTCTTATCTTTTCCTTTTGGACAGAATTCCAGCACTTCGCCTTGCTGGTGCCCCCCCTCGCCTACCGCTGAGCGCTGTTTCGTTCCTACCTTCGATTGGTTGTTTCCCCCCCCACTGAACGCCCATAACCAGGGGAGATCTATCTACCCCCTGTTCCTCCCGTTTTCAGGCCCTCATAGGCCTCCTTCCATGCCGGGAGAGTAATCCGCCGCTGATAGCCCCTCTTGCAACTCGCGGCCGCCATTTTGGGTGCCGCTTGGCGTCCGCCATGTTGGGCGCGGCCTCGTGGCCAGCCGCCATTTTGGGGGCTTTTCTAACAGTGCAACCAGGCTGCGTTGATAAATTGTCTCACTAGGCAGATCCCCGGGGACTGCTTAAAACCGTTGCTCGTTCCCTCAGGGTCTTTTCGAGGGTTCCCGAGCCTTCACAAGGTCCGTTGGCTCTGCAGCCATTTTTCAGCTGGCGAGGTAGCAGCGCTTTTTCAACCCCCCCCCCCCCCCAGTCTTCGTCTGGGGAGGCAGCTGCTGTAGGCCATCATATTTTTTCTCAGGCCTGGCGTTCATTTCGGCTGATTGATTTACCATCTGTACCTTACAACTGCTGCTCCCTCCTTCCGGAGCAACTCAAAGTGCACTAATAAGAGTAGCAAATGAAACCGAAAGGGCAATAGGCCCAATTTCTTCATATATCTCAATTTCATTCCGTTTAAAAAAAAAAAAACAAAGAAGAAAAGAGGAAAAAAGAAAATGATTAATGATTAAATGATTAAATTCAACGAAATATATATATATATATATATATATATATATATAAATTTCACTAAAAGGGGGGTGTGAAATAACTGTTGTGATACCCAGCCTTTGGTGTAGGTCGCAATCAGACGAGCCAACCGTCTCTTACTAACTTTAAATAATTTTTTTCCAGCTTTTTTTCCAGATGGCAGATGACAATTCTTCACGTGGACCTTCTCTGAAGGCCAAATCCAAAACACATTACCTGCGCAAACAGGCACAGGAGACCTCCAAAGCCTCACAGAAGGATGCCCTCAGACGCCACAAGGCATTGGAGAGGGAAATAGACAGGCGGTCTAGAGAGTCAGGCTCCATGCCTCTGGCCCTCCCCCCCGCCACGCCCTCAACCTCCCCCCAAGCCCCCCTCCTCCTCCCTCGCCTACTCAATCTTCGGCCTCGGTGCCTAGACAAGCTCCTGAAGCTACTTTCACCCCCACTGCTGCTGGCTTGCGCCAGGAGGAACCAGAGGAAGATTCCATGGTCGAAATCCCTGAGAAAATGAGATCCTGGATGGAGTTTGCCATCCGCCAGGGAATCGCGCAAGGTCTCCTGCAGATGGCCGGTCCAGCCCCTCGGCCTGCGGCCTCTGAAGTCCAGGCTCCATCCATCAGATCTCTCCCCAGATCGGATGCTTCACATGGTCAGGTACTCTCCCAGAGGAAACTGCCTCTCTCTCATGGGGTAGAGGAGGAGGAGCAGGAACACGATCAAGGGGACCCGATTCATTTCGGGGAAGAGGAGGACCTTGATTTGGGGTCCATGATCTATAGCGAACCCCTCTTGGGGGCAGACCCAGTGGAGGGGGAGATGTCAGGGGATGAAGGCCTCACCCCAGAACAGCCCACCTTTGTGGGGTTGTTCAAGCCACATCTGTTCAGGTCCATCCTTTTCAAGGCCAAAAATATCTCCGGCCTGATCTCCCAGCCTCCCCCTGAACCCGCAGCCTCGGGGGGGGGGGCATGACTCCATCTTTAGTCAGCCAGTAGTAGAGACCGAGGTCATTCCGGTCGCACCTATCTTTTCCGATCTGGTTTCCAAGCAACTGGCCTCTACAGGGGCGCCTCCAGCCCCCTCCAGTCAGGACAAACGCTTTTTCAACCTTGACCCTGACTTCTCTCTCCTCTAAGACCCCCCCACGGTTGACGAACCCATCATGGGCTTGGCTTCTTCCTCGACCCCTAGCGATGCTCTAGAGGCCCTGAAACCAGAAGACAAGCGACCTGAGCTGGCCTTATGCCGAGCCCACCAATCCGATGCCTGGGCCATTAGATCGGCCACGGCCGCATCTTTCTTCACCAGATCCTCAATCAGATGGCTCCGCCAGCTAAAGCAACATGTCCCCGCGTCCAATCTCAGGGCGCATCAGGACATTGCGAAGCTCACGGCCGCGGCCAAGTTCTCGGCCGACGCCACTTATCAGGCTGTGAAATTCTCCACCAGAGCCATATCCTCGCAGGTCACAGCTCGCCGCTTGCTCTGGCTCCGTCACTGGCAAGCGGACATTAAAAACAAGGTGAAATTGGCATCCGCTCCCATTTCGGGAGGTAAATTATTTGGTCCGGTCCTTGATCCCTTGCTGGTTGAGAGTCGTAACAAGTGCAAATACCTCCCCTCTCTTTTTCGGAGGTCCGACTCCAGAGCCCCCCCCCCTTTTGACGAGGATCCTTTTGTTCCTCCTTCCAGACCTCCTTTCCCCCCAGATACCAGAGAT